CCACCTCAGCCGGTTTCTTGCTCCTTCCAGGGGAGGTCGGGCAAGGATGAGAAGGAGATGCGGACGCTGCAGCTGAGGAGCCTGCAGTACCTGGAGCGCTACATCTACCTGATCCTCTTCAACGCCTACCTGCATCTGGAGAAGAAGGACTCCTGGCAGCGGCCCTTCAGCCTCTGGATGCGTGAGGTGAGGCTTTGCCTGCCTAAGCCACCAGCAAGACTTCGCTCCAACTCATATTTCGTAGAATCACAGACTGGTTTGGGTTGGAAGGGATCTTGAAGATCATCTCATTCCCCCCCCCTGCCCTGGGCAGGGACACCTCCCGCCAGCCCAGGTTGCTCCAAGCCCCGTCCAACCTGGCCTTGAACACCTCCAGGGATGGGGCAGCCACAGCTTCTCTGGGCAACCTGCCCCAGGGGCTCACCACCCTCAGAGTGAAAAATGTCTTCCTAATATCTAATCTAAATCTCCCCTCTTCCAGTTTGAAGCCATTCCCCCTTGTCCTATCGCTCCACGCCCTTCTAAAAAGTCCCTCCCCAGCTCTCCTGGAGCCCCTTTAGGGACTGGAAAGGGTTCTAAGGTCTTCCCAGAGCCTTCTCTTCTCCAGGCTGAACACCCCCAACTCTCTCAGCCTGTCCTCGCAGCAGAGGTGCCCGGAGCATCTCCGTGGCCTCCTCTGGACCCGCTCCAGCAGGTCCATGTCTTTCCTATGCCCGCTGTTGGCTGGGTGCTGGGAGTGCGGGTTTAAATGCAGCATCCTCAGTGCAGCATCCTTAGTGCATGGGTTTACGTCTCCCCTTTTAGGAGAGGAGGGAAATACACCCACCCTGCGGATAAAAGGAGCCTTTGACCCCCCCCTCCCCCCACAAAACTCCCCTTCCTGCTGCACAATCTCCGCCTTTTTTAGCAAAAAACAAGGCGCCGTTGTAGCTTTTTGGCGGAAGGGTGCCAAAGCCAACAAACCCTGCGAAGGCTGACCCCAGCGGCGAGGAAGCGGCTTATGAAATGTAGAAACCATGGCTGGAGGAAAGCTTGAAGGGGGGTGGGGGGAATGCGGGAGGCCTGGGGGGGCGGTGTGCCTGGATGCGGGGAGATGTTGGGGAGACCCTTCCCTGCATCTTCACCCGGGAGGTGGCAAAAGCATCCCGAGGATGCGGGGAGGCGGGTGGGTACCGGGATGCAGGGGGAGATGCTGGGGATTTTCCCCCTGTGTCTTCACCCGGGAGGTGGTAAAAGCATCCTGAGGATGCCAGAGATGTGTGTGTGGGGGGGGTAGTTAAATCTCTCTTTTCTCCCTCTGTTTTCAGGTGGCAGCGGTGGCCGGGGTCTACGAGATCCTAAATCAGCTGGGCTTCCCGGAGCTGGAGAGCCTGGAGGGGAAGCCCCTGTGCACGCTGCGGGGCCGCTGGCAGGCACAAGGGGCCACCTCCCGCCCTTTCCGTGGGGATTTCGGGTAGGGTCGGGGCGGGGGGGGGGGGGGGGAGGGAGGCAGGGGTTTTGGGCGGGGAGGCGTGAGCCCCGAAACTGCCGTAGAACGCGGGAATTTCTGGGGTTCTTTCGGAGGCAATAAAAATGTTGTAAATTAAAAAATCAGTGCTTTTAGGCAGGTGCCGAACTGCGCCGGGGTTGTTGATTTGACAAGCGGCTCTGACCTTGCTGGCACGCCAGCACCTGAATTCAGTGGACGCACCACGGAATCGTGCCGGATTTTTGGGGTTTTTTTGGAGACCATCCTCGCTTTCTCCCTAAACCAATGCAGCGTACGCACATAAATACAGATATATATTTATATACACACACGTGTGTATATGCATAGATACACAAATATATATAAACATGTATATATGCGTATATACACATATTTATATCTATATTTATATATATGTGTGTATATATATAAACACACAGGCGGATATGTATTTATGTCTCTGTGTGTGCACATATATGTATATATAGAGCCATAAACACTCGTAGCCTTAATTGGGTCTTGCGGAGATCCCGGTCACTGCAGACCTGAGTATTTTTACGGTTTGGGCATCGTTATTGGTTTTTCCTAACTTTTTAGTCACGGATGTAGCTGGAGGAAGCTGTGCCCCCCCCCCCCCCCCCTCTTTTTTTTGCTGAAGGGAAGAGTGAAAAATAAAGTTAATCAAAACAAATGAGGGCTCGCAGCAGGGGGTGGGGGGGAGCCTGGCGGTCAAGGGGGGCGATGGGGAAGTCGGTGGTACGGGCGGGAGCCCGGATGGAGGGATGATAAAATAGGATGGGGAGCACAAAAGTGGGAGCACAAAAGCGGGAGCGCACGCTCCGTCTCTCCCAGCAGCTGCTTTCATCTGCTGCCAGGGGCGGGAGGCGCAGGCAGCAGATATACAAATGTGGAGAGGGGGGTGGAAAGAAGAAAAAAAAAAAAAAAAAGGCATTTTTAAATAGCAGGGGATGCTTTTTCTTAAACATTGGGATGGCTCCTGCTGGCGCTGTGAGAGCCCCGATTCCCAAGGGGTCCCCTCGTTTTGGGTTTTTTTTTTTGACTTAACTTCGCTTTTTGGTTTTACTTTTTTTTTTTTTTTTTTAACACAGAAATATCTGCCTGAATATTTTGTCCCTCGCTGGGTATTTCAGTGTTTGGATAATTTACTGCTGATGTAGTAGGACAGTTGACTTAGCGATTTGCAAGAGGCTGTGGATGCTATTTTTTCCTCCTCTTTTTCTTTTTAACGGAGCACGTGCTTTCCGTCTCTGCAGATCCACAGTACATCTCCATTTATTCTGCTTTACTCAATAAATTACCTGTGGGCTCCTTTGCTTTCAGCCAGGCTGCAGACCCCATCCCCTTCTGCAACCCTTGGTGGTCCTGCCTAATAGCCTGGACTTAATTAGGCAGGGTTTTTAATTGCTTAGGAAATCCCAGCCCTTTTAGTCTTGGTAATGAAGGCTGGAGCTTTGCATCACCTGGACCCGGCGGCTCAAAGGCTTCTTTCTGCTTTCCCACCATCCTAACAAGTGATTTCCAAGCAATTGCCTGGGAAAACGGAAAAAAAAAAAAAAAAAAGGAAAAAAAAATGCCTTGGAGATGGGAATGTGTTTGAACGTGAAAAAATCAATTGTGCTGTATTTATTTCTTCTTTTCCCCAGGCTGGGAAGGTGGAAAACTAGCTCCCTCGCCCAGTTTATAAGTTAAACCCGGCTCTGAATGGGTTTCGGAGGGGTTTGCTCCAGCTGAAGCTCTCGGTGTGAGGCAGGGGGGAACCCCAGGTTGGGGGGGATCCCATCGTGGCGGGGAATGGTTGGGAGATGGGGCGCAGCATCCTCAAGGGCGCTGGGCGACCCGGTCCCCATCAATTCTCCCATCCCGACGGCTGCGGTAAATTGATTTTCTGCAAGTTCAGGTCACGGTTTCCCTTCTTCCCATGGTTTCCCTTCTTCCCGTGGTTGCAACCAGCCCTGGGGCGTAGAGCGATGCTCCGGCACCATCAAACTTGCTGCTGAGATATTTGGGTTTGTGTCTCCCTGCTGAGCTGCGGGACTTCCCTACCCTCAGCATCCTCCACGGGTTCAGCATTGCCCCTCCGAGCTACGGTTGTGCCGCTCGCCGGGGACAAAAGGCTCAGGGGTGAATAATTACGTATAATATAATTAAAACGATACAATATACTATAGAATAATTAGATATAATAATTACAGAATGTATAATGTGTATGTTATTATATATACCATATTATGTACAGTGTGTTGTATATTATACAGTGCATATAGTGCATATATTATATAGATATTATGTATTATATGTAACATACAACAATTCTACACTAATACAAACCCCACATTCCACAATGGTTCTATATCATGACGTGTAACATATATTCTATATAATATATATATGCTATATAACGCAGAGGCTACAAATAGATATTCAGAAGGCAGGTATTGGTAAGATGGGGTTAACGAGCCGATTCCAGCCTCAGTGGGGTGTTTTCCCCGCCAGCAGCGGCGTTTCACCCCGGGGGAGGCATCAGCAAGGGGGTCTGCGGACGAAAATGCTTATGAAAAAGCAACTCAATGGGTGTTTTTATATTTTTATTTATTTTTTTTTTTTTAAAAAAAGCTGTTTTCCATTGGCTGGGTCTGCCAGCTGACCTTTTCACTGGAAATCGCTTAACGTGAGGTTCAGGGAGCAAAACAAGCCTTTATTTGTTTCACCTCTTTATTAGTCCTCACTCTGATTTACCCCTTTTTTTCTGAGCCGGCTTTGCTCGGCTGAGGAAAGCCCGTGAAAAGAACGCCTATTGGCTAAATTCATTGATTTTTCATGAAAACTAGTTTTCTGCAGGTTTCTGACCTCTGGTTAACCATGTTATACTCCTATTTCTCTGCTCTCCCCATTATCTTGCTCGGGGCTTTGAGCACGGGAATACAGCCGAGGGGATCCGAGGTTATTTTGGGGCAGATAAGTAAATATTTAAATCCCAGCCAGCAGTCCTAAGGGATTGATTTCAGAGCAGGAAACGCAAATCCCTGGCGGGTTTTCTCCTATATTGGCCCGATGGTATAGCATCCATCCATAATAGCAGATAGTATAACATCTCAATGTTCATCGCAGGTCTGCATCTTGTTTCCACGGGGAGCTGCCGAAGGATGCCGAGCCAGGCTCCGTGAGCTCCGCTATTAACAAATAGTGCTGGCGGGACTTTTGCCCATGCCAGAGAAAATACATATATATATTTTATATGTATTTATATATCTAGATATACCGCTGTAGGAATGAATTTAAAGGCTGCCGGGCTGGACCGCAGCATTTTTCCAAAGCCAGCAGGGCGCTGCATCCCCGTGGGAGCATCCCTCCCTCCCCACAGGGCTGGGACCCGCAGCGTTAAGGCCACCTGGGCTGAGTGAGGGCAAATTGCCTCCAGGTGGGACCAGGAGCCGTAATCATACCTGAGGGAACCAGAAA